GGAACATTGGTTAACAGTGTGTTAATTTGCACATTGCAGGGGAGGGGGAGTTTTTTAAATTTTCAATTCATTTGTCCTTTTGTAGTGAAACTGAGAGCTAACTCTCCTACTTTTTTGGTTCTCTATGGAGTCTTTTAGCAAAAATAGGAAAGACTAATATATTTCTGGTGAAGGGTTTTATATTTAAGGCTTAAAATCAAGCATTTGTTATATATGTATTTCATAAACCGTCTCAGGGCACATCTGTGCATTTTCCCTTGCTGGTCACTTTTAAAATAGTTGTGAGAGATTTCATATACTTCTGTTCCTCTGAGATCTGCTCATTTATTATTCAGGTGGATCTGTGATAAGAGACAGCCAAATCTAAGCACCAGAAAATCAGCTGATCTACATGGTGTTTTGATCTGTGTACAGTTCTGGGAAGCAGTATAACTGAGTGTTTGTGTGTGTGTGTGCCGGGTGTGGGGGGAAGGAGAGAGAGTGGGGTTGGAGTGTACCTGTGGGAGAATGTTAAGTGAGCTGTTGTCCTGAGCAATGATGAACCTTGTTTTTTTGCCTGATTTCAGATAACGAAGGCTTCTACACTTGAACTGAGCTCAAAATAAAGTGTGTGGTTCTTGTATTCAAAATACGTGTCAACTAGCCATACAGTACTAGCTTCATACGTTCTTTAACCCTAGGTAACACATTCTAGAGCGCTGTCCAGCAGTTTAAGTTGACAGGCTTGTCTACATGAGGCAACATGCAATTTGTCTTCAACAGCAATTTCCATTGGAAGCTTTTTAACTGGTGAAAAGTTGGACATAAGCCCTGCTAACTCTGGTAATTTTTTTTTTAAACAGAGCTTGCATAATCTTTAAAATATTAGTCAGGAAGAAAATTTAGCACTTTGACAGTTATGAAGTCTTTAAAGGAATTTTTTTTTTCCTGTGAAGCAACTTCTGTTAATGCTCTTTTGCAAAATAGAGCATAAAGTGAAATGGAGTAATTCTTGATTATAGTTTTATTCAAATCAATTAAACTAAAACTAGTAACATCTTATCTGTTATTATGATTAACTTTGGCAATGCTACTCTTGAAGTTGATTACATTGCAGTTACAGCTACTGTAATTACAATCCTTCACTTTTTCAGGCTGGCAAAATTGAAAAAAAATTATAAAATTTAATATATGGCTAGTCAGTGCAAACTGAATTACAGTAGAGATCGCTTCTTGTGCATCTTAGAAATACCCTGAAGTTTTGCCTAATGGTGAATGTAAACATTAAATGTTTCTTTCCCTAGCACTCACTTCATAGCAAATCTTAGAACTTATTTTCACCAGGACTTGTGTGTTTTTTTCCTTTTCTTTCACATATTTGTATTTTTCTGGGAAACTCCTGTTTAGGGCAGAAACCTCCATATTCTTTCTATTTATTTATGGTCTAGATTGAATGTGAAAATCTTTTTCTTATTAAATAACTGATTCTGAGAAACAGCATTTTAATTCTGATCTGTTGTGCTCTCTCTTTACTAATTATTCATTACACTATGAAGCACCACAAGTCTGCCTGATGTTTTACAAATATAAGAAGGTGGTACCTCTGGCTCAGGTGTTTGAAATCTAACATTGCAAAGAAACCCCCTCATATTAGAATTGAGCTGCCCCCTGACACCTCTGCACCCCTGCTGCTTCTCCCCTGCAGCCTTGTGCTCCCATCGCATAGAGTTTCCCCCTGCGCTGTTGTCCCGCTCCTTCCCCCATGTACCTTGAAGGACCTTGCTTTGGTGCCAGCAGGCCCTGTCGTTGTTGGAGCATAGAGCTCCCCACTGCTGCTACAGGGCTGGGTTGGAGCTGTGCTCAGTGTTTCAGGTGGGAGTGGGAGCAGGCAGCAGTGGACAAACTGCATGCCACCCTCACTGCCTCCACACTGGAGGGATGGATATGCTGAGGGGGGATAGCTCAGGAGTTCGGCTTTTTCCCAAGAGGCCTCAGGAAAGTCCAAAATTCAGGGAGGGCTACTCAGGGTTCCCTCCCAGCCTGACTGCAGACCACTGAGCAGCACTGCAGCAGTGCAGTGAAATGACACTTCATTGGCTCTGGGGAGCACTGGTCAAGTACAAAGACCAGGCAAAAAGAGACCCTTGATAGAAAGTGCTGCCATCTCTCGGCCTTGCTTAAAGCTAGGAATGCGCAGAACTAGTCAAAGCTGGCACCCCGGTGACTCCCCTCTGGGGGTGTCCCTCTGGGCTCACACCCTCCTGACACAAGAGCAGCATGCTCTGAACTGGAGCTGCCCAGACAGTGGCAGTGACATGGAAGGAGGGCCCCATTCAGGTCCCTGCTCCCCTGGCTGTGGCCCAGCTCATGATCCCTGTGACATCCTCAGGAGCATTGCTCTTGTACCTCTGCCACATCAGAAAATATGTTACAAGACCCAACCAGCATCTTCCTCTTAGTTAAATCATTTCAATCAGTGGCTGACATAAGTGGCTAATCTCAGCCACCTGGGATCACTTACAGCACATATCATGGTTGGTATGGCACAGGACAGGGCTTGTTCTGTTGCTGTCTCAGTCTGAACAACACAGCCCTTGGTTGCAGCACTGTTCTATCACAATGTGGGTCTTGTGTGGAGCTCTTTTCCTTTCATGCCTGCTCTGGAGTTGTCTCATTGATTCACCTACTGTATTTCTATAGCCAGGAGCAATCATCTAGTGGTACTTAACTAAGGCCACTGGTACGTATTACATAAATTGGCAATTAACTTGTCAATTGTGCAATCAATTTATACCAGTCACACATACCAGGTAAGACCATCCCCAAGTGCAAAGGTAATTCTCACACAATTAACTGGTTAACCACCAATAAATTTAGACTAAGTGTCTATAAAAAGAGCCAATCAGCTATAAAGTGCTTAAAAATGTGTAACAACTCTAGAGTTGGTTTCTATCCAGCTTTAATTTGAACATGTAGCAGGGCCCCAAAGCAATCAAAATGGAACAAATCAAATCATTAATACAAAATAATTTGGCTCTTGATGTTTGAACATGTGATAGAAATAGTTATATCTGAAATCAGATTGTCTAGATGTTGAAAATATCTCTTCTTTAAAAAGGCCAATAAAAGTTGATATGAAACTAACAGCAATAAAATGCCAAATATGTTTGTGTGCTTGATTAAAGGTATTACTAACTCCAGCATTTCATTGGCAAGGCAAGATGTGCCCTGATTTAGTCTCTTCCAACCAGATGAGTCTCTTTGGGTCTGTCAATACGAAAGAGAAGTTCTGCAGGCAAAAAATATCCCAAATACTCTACGCTATCTGGTGTGGTATCATTATGATAGTGTCCTCCTTCACCATGGTGACTAAAACCGTGGGTGTGTTCCAATCGCAGATCAAACCCCTAGAACAAAGAAAACCTCATGAATATATTTCCTTCTGAAGTTGTTTTAAATACTTCACTATTTTTAGAGTGTACTGCAAGTTTCTTCCAAAGATGCTAAAGTGCTTTGCAACATTATTTACAATTTGCAATATGCCAATGACCTAGCTTGGCATGATCCTGACAACAATTTTCTGTACCTCAGTTTATCAGAGTGACTTGTCTCAGATCATCCTGTTAGAAGATCAAAGGAAGGAACTGAATTGAAAATTTCTTACTCCCAGTCATCTGTTCCAATCACCACAACACGCAGTTCTTTCGTGATATGAACCTGTTCTAAGCCAAGGTCAAATATTCAATGTTTGTATTGTGGTAGAGCCTAAAAACCCTTTAGTAGCAATCAGGGCCACTTTGTGCTGGTCACTGTACAAGCACACAACAAAAAGTTCCAGATTCAGTTTTAACAGATGAGCAGTGGGTACAGCTTGGGAGGGAACACAAAGTAACAATAAGATAATGAATGTTTGGAGGAAAGAGGTGCACATGTACCTTGAAGGACCCAGCATGGCTCATTTCAGAGCTGAGTTCTGTAGTCTGTGTCAATAACGGTGTACATTGTTAGAATTAAGAAATCTAACTCACTAAAAGGGAGTCCAAATGCTGATGTTGGCAGGAATGAGAGATGTTGGCAGAAACGAGAGATACAGGAATGAAGGATACACTAATATAATGTAGGAAAACAGGTGGGTGTACAAGAGCAAGGAGACTGTATTTGGTAAGTCTAGGAGACTCATCAAGAACGGACAAAGAAAGTAAGTTTTGTATATTGGGATGATAAAATAAGTATGTGTGGAAGTTGGGCTATATCTGACCAGTTTCTAGCACTCAGATGATAATGTACAGTAATGAGCGATTTTGGTAGGATGAAAAGAAGCAGAAGAGATGGATCCTTTGCTAGTGTGGGCTGATCTGCTGGAGCCAGACAGCATTGGACAGCTAGGCTCTTCCTTGCTAGCCCAGTTTAAGTATTCTGGTCAAATATTTGTAACAAATTATGGTGTAGATTCAGTCATTAATAAGTATTGTAACGTTCCTATCTAATGTGAAGTTGGTATGTTGCAATAGCATTTTAGAGCATTCATTTAAAATAACTGGATTTAATAAAGGCATTTTAGCTGAATTAGTGATGTGGTCAATCAAACTCCAACACACATGGGTAAACTTGTCATAAGGATTGTCAGCAATGAGGTAGGATGAGAGTGGTCTGTAGTTTTAGTGGCAGTACAGCATTAGATAGAATCTGGTGAATAATACTTAAAGGACTGAAAGAGAGGGGCTATTTTTGGAAAGCAAGCATTGTGAAAGCAGGTTTAGGTATTTCCTTTTCAGGACAGCTCACCTAAACGTGAATTTGCCTCAAAGAGACAATGCAGTCTGAAAAGGCAAAATGGCAGTATATGTATTGAGTTCAAGTTGTGTTAGTGTGTACTTTAATTCTTTGAAAAAAGGGAAATGCAGGATTAAGTGTTATGCCCTTTCTCTTCAGTGGAAAACCACAGTGCAATATTAATTTTGTATTCATATTTTTTTTGTCAGTGAGTTTTCTAAGTTTCTGGAAAGAGAAATGCTTTGTATGAGTTAATGGCAAGGAAGGCATTGTCAAATACAGTTGCAATTAATATGCATGGTACAGGGGCAAGGTAATAAGTAGCTTTATATATAATGCTTTTCAAAGTAGGACTCAAAGTACTTTAGAAAGCAGAGAAACTGAGGCAGAGATGGGTGAAATGACTTGCCCACAATCAACCAGCAGGTCACCAGCAGAACCAGGAACAGAACCCCGATCACTCAAGTTCCGGTATTTGCTTCATGGAGGTTACTCCCTCCCTAAATGTTTCTCTTCACACCAGTCTGCTTTATTATAATGAATGGGGATGTGTTTGGTTTGGAAACTGTTGATCCTTCCGGATCATGGTGTATGTGCAAGAGGTCACCCAGACCTTTGACATGCATGCCTAAGTAGTAGTTTGGAGGCTGCCCAGACCTTCCATTATCCCTTTAGACCACAGAGACAGAATCCAAAAGCCAGACTGAGTCCAAACATTTGGTGCCTCCATGGCTGTAGTTGTATAAGCATCTGGGAATTGAACCCCAGTCTCCCTTGTGACAAACAAGGATTCTACCACTGAACCAGAGGGGACTCTTATGAGGGTGAGATTGTATTCTGAAATGCTTGGAGTGGACAGTCACAAACTGAACTGACGAGAGAAATCAGGCAAGTCTACACTCCAAAGTCTTGGCAGTGTTAGTTAATGTAATAACAGTAACTTAAAGAACAAGAGAACTGGTGCATGTCTCTTTCTCTATGAATGACCCCTATGGTTTACTCCCGGATTTCTGGCCCTGGTAGGTTTCAAATTTATGGTGCCCAAATGTAGGTAAGCGTAGGTGGACAATACCAGTTTGGTCCTGGGAAGGTTGAAAACTCATTTTGCCTATGCTAATTCAGAGACTCTAACGTATTCTTCAATAATGATTTCAATATGTTTTCCCAAGGGTTAGTGGGGGCCTTGCCCTAGCTGGGATAATGTGAAATAAATAAGATTAGCTATAGGAATGATTAGCATCATGGTACATCTCTCAAAAAATGGTGTTAGAAGCCAGGACCTTTAGGAAATACTCCAGAGAGTTGCATCTTAGGAACCTCTTGCACAGTGAAATGTGGATCACTACCCACATCTCATGCCTTCCTGAGGCAGATCAAAAAACTCATGACAGAATCACTGTAAGACACACTACACAGTTACTCTTGAGAGAGACTTACTGGATCTCTGGAAACTATCACAGGCTGACAAACCAATGGTGCCTTCATTTCAAAAAACTTGAGCCAATTATTTACCTCCTCATCAGTGTTCAAAGGACAAGCAGAAAATTCTGGGGGCTGTAACAAGAACATTGTTAGTGAAATATGGGCGCTAGGACTGATATGCTTTCTCCTAAGTTACTTTACTTTGTCAGCCTCATTTACTCTTATCCAGTACAATGCAAGCAGTAGTCTTAATGGTTTTTTTTGTTCTGAAACATAAGTTCACACAGTTTCTTTCACTGTTACTGCCAAAATACCCAGTGGGAATACTCTGGGAATCAAAGCACTGGTACCCATATGTTCGGCTTCTAGCATATTGGGCTAACTGCTAACACAACATGTAAGGTTCTCTCTGCTTTAATATCAGAGGCACATGGTCCTATACAGCCACATCTGAACACAGGTGAAATGCACAGGATTCTGTTTTTGAGCGATGTGAACATCTGGATGTCAACATCAGCTAAACTGTGATTCTTACAATAACCACAAACAACCTACAGCAGAGTATTAAAAGCCTCATCCAGTTTGGTCATGGAAATTGTATTAAATCTGTTGGCAGTAAGAAGTAACATAAACAATGTTCTCAATGTGGACAGAGCCCAGGACCTACAAATTTTAAGTATGTATTGCATCAGGATGACTGACTCAGAGCTGTCAAGGATGATTCTTTCTCCAAGGGGAGGCACCACAGCTGTCATGCATAAAAATGCATAAGCAGTCTCCAAAGCAGGGTCCAAGTGTCAGGACTGTCCTGGGGAACTGCCTTCATCTGTGGTGAGAACTATGTCAGATGCTTAGTGTGAGGTTTCTAGCAAGCACAGCATACTGACAGTTCACATGGTAGGCAACACATACTTTGCAACTAAGTATATTTCAAATTAATTGTGTGCCACTGGTACTTCTGAACCTGGCTACAGTGTGATGCCATTTTTGGAATCAGTTGCCACAGCTGACATACAGGTGTTTCTTGAAGAATTTAATCAACCATGAGAAGCCTGGAATATAAATCTTCTTCTACAGTTCTCCATTCTACGCATGTATGGTTCTTTGAGTAGATGTGATATCTTTTATTAGACCAACTATGTACTCTATGCAGAATTTCTAACAACCTTCCATCTTTGACACCTTTAAGTGATATTTTTGTCCCAACTGTACTCATGGACTTGCTACAATTTGTCCCAGAGACATATGGCAATATGCATACAGTTATGCATATAGGCCCCCTCCTCTTGCATATTCTCTTTGGCCTTTGTTTCTATTCAGTGGCTGAGTCATCTGCAATGGAGTGGTGGAGTTTCCACAGTTCCAGTTTTGCCTCTAGCTTTGTAGCTGAGGTCCTTCCCTGAGGATGGAGCTGTGGCTCTGAATTCCTTTGGCATGAGAAACCTATAACTGAGGCAACCATCTTCCTGGACAAGTGCTCTTAGGATGCTATACAAAAGGTTAGCACTCCTTTTACTTCCTTCAGCCTTGTATTAAAAAAAACAAAGTGTAAGCCCATACCCAAAGGGACCATGTAGGTGCCCAATTCCATGAAGCAGTTTTAAATTCTGAATCCTATGAATCTCAAATCTCAGAGACACCAAAGTTTGGGGGAAACAGACAAAAACTCAGATACAGTCATCTCTTCCATGTTTACTATTAACTGGTTTAGACCTGCACCTGCTCAGCATACTGCCATAAAGTCAGGCCTATGAATTCCACTCTTAGAGCCAAGTAGCTAAAAATTAGGCTTGGCAATGTTGAGGGTCGCTACATGTAAGTGCCTTTGCAGATCTTGTCCTAAGTTTTGTCACCTGAATTATACTGTGGCTTTTAGAGAGAGCCACTTAAGAAAAGAGCTACTTACCATGATATGCATCTTTGCTTTTCCCTTTTGAATAACAAATGTACCTCCCATTCCAACTGGCTTATCACCATAATGTTTCTCTAAAATTTGCCTCAGACAGGTGATAAAATTATGTTGCCCAGTTCTTCCATTAGCTTTCACTTCAATGACCTAGAGAACAGATATGCAATAATCATTACTATTACTTGCAGCAAATTCTGTCTTGTGTATTTCAAAGCTGCTGTGAAACCTTCTCCGAGTTGTGTCCCATTATCTCTTTGTCAAAGAATAAATTCTCACTCCAGCAAGGCTTTCTTTGTATCATTTATCTTTGTGATATAATAGTTGTGTGTGTGTGTAAGAGACTCCTATTTTTTTGTGGGGGAAGCCCTTTATTTATACACACAAGAGGCACTGCACAGGAAGCAAAGGACATCAACCCCACCACAAGGGAACTCTGCCTAGAGTTGAAGAGGTAATTCATTTTCAACCTGCTACTCAGTGACTGGCTTTTCAGCTAATACTATCATGTGATAGTTGTATTTAGGGGGACATTCATCTACAAGGAACTAAGACAGACTCAGTTTACTCAGTTAATCATTCATCAGATGGCAATAATTTTCAGTCACTGCCAACTGAGGAGACTTAAGAGTTATAGGTTTCAAATCCTAGTGTCAATTCCTTTGGGAATCCAGTCCCCAACATCAACTTCATCTTTTTGTATCAGAAATAATTTCTTTTATGCAATATTTGTCTTAAAAATGATCAACACTCTCAGGAAGGAAAGGCAAGATGGAAGCAGACAAATTAATTCTAGTCAAAGTCTATTGTTTAAGTTACTTTTTATCTAAATGTGCACCTTGCCTGGTTGGCCCTGGCTGGCAAACAGGTTGGCCAACAATCCAAAACTGCTGTATTTGTACTTCTCCAGCAAGCATCCTCCATCTGTAGGATTAATTCGAGCATTGTAACTTGCATTTACTGGATGCTTTTGTTCAGTCTCAGTTTGAGCAATAGGGATAAACTGAAAAGAAAGGTGCATAAAATAGTTGGATTTTATTCAGTTCACTTACTGCTAGAAAGTTAACAGACTTAAACTTGAGAAGCGATACTCTTGAATACAACAGAAGCTATACCTCTCTGAATTAGATTAAAACTGGCTTGCAAAGTGTACACATTTTAGAGGGGGAAAATCCAGTGAATATTTCTATTTCCTTGGCTGAATGTCATGGTAACATGGACACCAACATTAAAAAATGTACTCTCCTTTAGCAATCTAGATCAAAAACTCCACATAAATAAGTCAAAAAGGAAGTGTTTCTCAGTGAGGCAACATCTATTAACTTATCACAGCAGAAGGCCCAACTTAATGCAATTTATAGTATTTATTAACAGGAGGTAAATCCTTTCATTCCAATTTATACATAAGGCTTTTAACATGTCAGTTTCCAATTGCTTCAGGTTTCTTTTGTTTGTGATTGTATTTTGGGCATCTGAACTGTTGTGTAGTTATACAATTTCCTTGTAATTATGCTATTTTCCATAATATACCGGAGTTGTCTTAACTTCCCATCCCTACCTGACATTGCAAGCAACTCTTCAAACAGTAGTTTGTATATATCACTACCAACAAATCTGCACCATCATTCAAGATTAGGATTGACACTGGCATTTTAAAGCCATTTATCATTCAGCACTTTGGCAGCTGTTTTTCAGCTCACACTTCTGTCACTTACTACTTAATTGGAGATTTTTGGTATAGTGATAATTAGACAGTGCATCCTGTTAGCTCCGTTTCTGTTCCCCCTTGGACTCAAGTTGAAACATGATTTGTTATTGAAATAACAATCACTTCATGGCATAGGTCTTAAATTCACTTTTCCATGCTAGTGACATTAATTACAGATGTTAAAAAAAAGATAACTGTAAAAAGGAAATAGCAAGCTACATACATGTCCTGGCCTATAGCAATTCTTTCCTACAACCCTCCATGGCTCCTGTCACAGGCAGCTTTTATAAAAACAGCTACATACATGCACATTAAGGGCATGTGTTTCCAGGAAGTCACTGATTGAGAAATACTAAATACTTATACAATACAACCCAAGGTTACTGACCTCAGCATTTACTCCAAGATTTCTAGATGAAGCAGCTCCAGCTCCAAGAATGAAAGCTCCAGGCAGCTCTATTTCTTTTGCAATAGTATTCAGATCATACACCTGCACAACAGGGATACATTAATTTTGCTTGGGCTTCACATCCTGCCTTGTATTTCTCATTCCAGCTAAATTCCACTGCTACTTCTTGATGCACCCCATCAAAACATCATTATTACCTGTCTGGATTAGGTTTAATAAAATCCCTAGAGCAGAACAGTGCCAATATCTGGTTGAGTTTAGATCTATATTCACACTTTATGGCCTGAGCAGGTCTCCACCTTGTTTGCTAGACGGCATGGTTTTATTGTACAAACCAGACACCACTCTACCTGCAGACCACATTAAATAAATGTCAGTTTCATTGAGATCAAAAAGAAAAATAACCTTAAATAATGTCACATAGCTCAGATTCTGGCAGGTACCTAGAACCAGGCATTGTGCTCTATCCAAAGTGAGTGCTAATATGAACCCTACTTCAGCTTGCACTAGTCCCATAGGCAGTCTCTTCTTATGAAGAACAGAATTTAGGTGAGGACTGTGGCTAGAGGCTACTGACAAACAGCATGCAATAAATAAATATACTGATTATGTCTTGGCCTATAGCAATTCCTTCCTACAACCCTCCATGGCTCCTGTCACAGACAGCTTTTATAAAAACAGCTACATCATATTTGCAGGCAGCAGAATAGGAACAACTAACTTATGCATGCTGCTTCTGATGTGGGGCATGTTTTTTTGACATGTTCTGTACTTAGCACAAGCCAAATTTTAGCTTGGGATGCCTATGGAATATTTTTACACGTGGAACCCTGGAGTATCTATTCATCAGTGTTCTCTAGGAATTTTAAAAAAATGTTAAAAACCATGCCTGTAGAAGACTCACTTTATCTTCTTGTACAAGAGGCAAAAGGTAAGGGACACCTCCAACATCTGCTATTCTAGGCTTCCCACAGATTCCTGGAATAAGAACAAAGCCAGTTAGCTTGTTAAGAATATTCCTGTAAAGATCTCTCTCTATATACTTGAAGTATAATATGCTAATGAACCAGGTCCTGAGAAGCCTCCTTTCAGTTTCCAGAAAGTCTTTTAAAGCACTGGTTTCTCTTCACATGCAGAAGAAATACGGGTTGCTTTACTGTCCTTTCCAGAAATGTACAAATCTACATTAAATAAACCTGAATTTCAGCAGAAAGTAGACATGGGATATGCATTTAAGGCTAGCCAGCCTGTTTCCAAAGCAGTGTTCTACAAGAATTAGCTCTACTTTGGGTTGTTGCCCAAAAATAGTGTAATGGGCAATAACCACAGAATACCAGTTCTCCAGTGAGGCAGAGGGTACACGGAGTGATAGGACATAGTTAACTTTATTGGATATACCTTCCCTATCTTGTGTATGTACACAGGTAGGTTTTTAAGTAAGTATGAGATGAACTTATTAAAATGAGACTGAGCAGTAACACAGTACTTGGCCTGGATACAGGCCTTCCATCTGAGAATCTCAAAGCACATCACAACACAAATTAGTTAAATCAGTGAGATAAATGGCATTAGAATCATTTTACCAATGAAAGAATGACAGTATGTGAATATCAGCAGCAGAGGCAAGAACAAAAACCAGGTCTTACAGCTCCTGTGCAGATTAGTTATTTGCAGGACAGTGTTTCCACCATCTTCAAAAGTCCAGAAACATAATGAATCAGCTCTAAAGACCTGGCAATCCCAGCCTCAGATGGAAATGTGAAGTTACCTTTAACAGGAAAGGTGAATGGTTCTTGAGTCAAATCAGGGCAGTCCACTACAGAGACCTGAGCATCAGCAAAGTTTTCTTTAAGCCCCTTCTGCAGAACTAGAATAAAGAATGAAAAAAATTGTTATTGACACTACAAAAACATGCCTTTAAGCACTAAAAAACATGCCTATATAAAAAATGCCTTTAAGCCCTGATTCAGCTAGGTACTTAAGAATGTAAACAATTCCACTGATTTAAATGCTCAAAGTTAAGCACATGAAGTTTACTGCCTCTGAGTGAGGCCTTCAAGGAAAAGCAAATCCTTCTGGGTGATACCATATCAGACCAGAAGCTTCCATTTTCTCCTTTAAAAAAAATAAGCATGCCAAGATGTTCAGAAGTAGAACCCTAAACTTAGGGTCCAAAATCCATTTTTAGGAATCAGTCTGATTTTCAGAAATCCTTTGCACTCAATGATTTTCTTCAGTCAATTATTTTTTCCAGCCATAGTTAGAATGAGGAGAAGACCTCTGTTATAGGGGCTGGATTGTGGTAGGGGATAGGAAGGGGGAAAAGAAGAAAAGGAGTTTTGTATTTGTATGTATAAAGCATATCTGGGCAGCCTGGGCTTCAGGTGAGGGCATGTTCTGTCAAAAAAGATATAGAATAAGCTGAATCCTGCAGTTTGGATCTCAACTTGAACACCAAGAGGGGAACCACCTGCAGCTAACAGCATACAGGACTGATGTCTCACATTAGTGTTGTCCAATACTTGTTGTAAATCCCGGCCCCCAGCTTGACAGGGTGGGCATGAGTTTTAGAAATGCAACAGATCCTGAGCCTAAAAGCTCAATTTCAGTGGGGCTAAGATTCATTTGTATTCCCCTGTTACAAACCTGCAAAATACATCAATTGGCATAAAAGAAAATTTCCCTGCTGTACGAGCACTATTTCCCCTGAATTCTTCCTACTGTCTGCAATTTTGCCTTGCTGGTAGCAAAAGCCATTGCTGTATATACCACAGCGATAAAAACACATTTTAAAATGTTAGTTTGTTTGTCATTCCTAATTATAACACTTTCCAGAATATTACAAATTACTTTACTTACCCCCAGCAAGTTCTTCTAGACTTGGGACGTGGAAAACAAACTTTTCAACTTTGGCCATTTCTTAGCTCATACGATCAACCGACCTCTTCATGAAAGAATTACAAATCAGAGTACACCAAGGACTCTCAGCTACTGATCTGTTAATAAGCATTTTGGTTTAGTGATTACAGTTGGTATGCACCTTTATGCTAATCTTTCATATGTAACTGACAGTTGCCAGCCTCATTCACGAATATAGAAGCTGCTGTTGCTTTGAGAGAGATTCAGAGCGCATGTTTATGCTGCTAACTTTCCTGCATGTTTTGGAATGAGGGTGTGCTTGGAACATTGCTTGAGAGCTCTAGATAGCCCCTAGAAACTTCGGCCTGCAGCTGACTCTGGGCAGTCATACCCAATTTCATTGGGGCTGCAGCCAAACATGCGGGGCTGCCAATGTGGAACCAACAGAAAGACTGGGGTTTGGATATAACAGAATTGTTTTAAATGATTTTGGAGAATGGCTGTGGCCTCTTCTCACCCATCCAAAAATAAATATATATAAGTAAGTAATGCTGTAGACCAAGTCAAGTCATTGCAAACTGCCCCATTTGAATCTTGGGCAGATAGGATTCTATGGCTTTCCCCTACCAGAAAAAAAGAGAGCAGGGGTAGCAGTGTTTCTCTAGGTGAAGAACAAAAGCAAGGAGCTCCAGTCTCTCTTCTGGAATAAGCTAATACATAGCAATGTTGTTTTGATAGGAATGAGCATAAGCAAAGAATTACATAAAATGTATTGTTCACAGTTCTGGGGTTCAAGGTAAGCGCAGTTTAGTTCATCTTACAACAGTGCACAGGTCAGCTGGCTGGGGCATATCACCAAGTCAAAGTAGAAAAACCTGGTCAGACAGCTTATGAGTCAACCACATCAATCATTAACTCCCTAGTTACACATCTGTCTCCTCCATGAACAAAGCAAAGCAGCTGCAAGTATCTTATAGCACAGGAGTGGGCAAAATATAGCCCACAGGCCCGATCCAATCCACCAAGGGATTTTATCAGGCCTGTGGTAGGTCCCTCAGCCCTGCCGGGCTGTTGTGGGGGACAGCCCAGGTTGTAGCGCATGTGGTCAGTCCCGCTGCCCCCAGGCTAGCCCCACTGCCTGGGCACCCTGGCCTGCCTGCCCCTCACCCACCACCGGGGCACTGGACAGAGCAGGCAGGGTGTTTATGGAGACCAGCTCAGGACCCCTGTGGGCTGGGTGTGCTTGGATAGCATAGGGCTGTGGGCTGGCGGGGAGTGGTATCCAGAAGGGACAGGCAGATGGAGCCGGGGCTGGGATCGTGGGGCGATGACATCACAGGGCCTTGCAGAAAGTAGCTTGTGGCTCTGCCCCAGGCCCTGGTCCCACACTATCACTGCCCTGCAATCCTGGCCCCGGCCCCAGCTGCCACTGCCAGACACTGCTCCCCACCCGTCTGCAGCCCCATCCTATCCCATCCACGTGGCCGAGCATGCCCTGTCTATGGGGGTCCTGGGCTGGCCTCCATGGAGATTCTGCTCATCTGCTCTGTCCAATGCCCTCAGACTGGCCTGTAATCTACCAGTAAAGGAGTTTTAGTGAGCTGCTGCAGGCCGCAAGGGGGGCAGGAGGGGTGCTGACCCAACCCGCAACAGCTCACCAGAGCTCCAGGAGGCTGTGGGTGTGGAGTGAAGGGCACCAGCAGGGCCAGGGGGCTGTGGGTCAGGAGTGAGTAACACCAGCAGTCAGGAGGTTGTGGCTTGGGAACGAGGAGCAATGGCACAGGCAGGGCACCAGCATACCAGGGCTGCTCAGTGCCACAAAGCAATGGGGGGCAGGGGCAGCAGCAGCTGGACTCGCATCCTGGTGAGCAAAGGAGGCAGGGGAAGCTCTGATTTTCCATGATAAAAAATCCAAAATCAAATACCAAAGTTTATAAGTATTTAGAATTTATTTTATTGTAGTGATTGAGGCACTGGTAGGCTTCCAAATGGCTTTAAAATTGTAAACATATCAATATAACATTGTGCTCAACTGATACCTGTATACATAGTGGTGTTTCATTTTAATTGCGGAAAAACGCAGATTTGGGGTTTTTTAGTTAGTGAACTTGTGGGATTCCCCCCCCCCCTTTTTTTTAAATCAGAGAATTTGTGGGTTTTTTTAACAGAGAAAACCAGGATCCTTGATGATAAAGACAACAAAAACAAGGATGAGTGAAAGGACTGGGCAAGTACGCAGGGGAGCTGGAAAGAGAGAGGACAGAGGAAGTCCTTTGTGTAACTGTGATGGTGATGGCTTCATGGGCATGCAGGAATGCGGGTGCATGGTACAGTCTTTGTAATGGAACTAAGCGTGATGCAACTAAAAGTGCATTTTGAACTGTCAAGTGAACCAGTGATCACAAGACAGATTTTTAGAGGTACAGTTATATAAGTAAATACCTTTGCAAGCCGCCCCCCCCCCCCCAAACAAGGAAAACTATGATGAAAAGTCTGAGATCACCTTGAATGGCATTATATAGTTAATGGTGGAGACTTGTCCACTGCACTGCAAGCAGGCCCCCTACAAGAGTCTATTACAGTTTCCCAATGAGAGGATCTTGGTTACACACTTTATTCATATAGATGGGGGATTTTTCCTAGCTTGCTTGCTTTGCCTGTTGGCCAGGGGCAAATGAGACTTGGGAGCATCTGATCTATATATAGATATAAAAAAATATTTTTGCAAAAAACCCCCCATGTTTGTATCCACCTTCTTGGCCTTTTGGCTCTGATCAAGTGTAATGGAGCCTGGGACCCCAGCAACGAGAGCGTCCTCCGCGCCTGCCGCGTCTCCCGTCGCTACACCAAGCTGATGCGCTACCTCATGGTGTCCGACACCATCCGCTGGTCCCGCGACATCTACGTGGAGCACATCACGGGCCACCGCCAGTACACCGACCCCGCCAGACGACCCGCCGCCGGACCGGACCCGCAGGACGCCGCCGCCTGAACCGCCCCCCCCCGACAGGATCCTTCCC